TTTTTTAACTGCTTATCCTAAAACCTACTGGGCTCACACTTCTACTGAGAGGAGAGGGCGACACACAAGTCCTCTTACGACCTGAAATCCTCGGGCATTCCTGTTTCAGAAACAAGGCATCTCTCTCTCGCCCCAGACGATGAGTACCGGATTGTTCTCGACTGTGCCTTCATTAACCTTAAGAAATCGATCCCTTGCAACTGATACAGAAAACTGCCCAGTTGGCATTCTTTTTACATAAAGAACCATCTTAATATTGCAGAAGTTAGACCAGAGAGGTCAAAACACCAGCCAATGGATAAACCTGATTTGCAGTAGCTTGCAGATTTAAAAGGGGGGGAGGTTGGGGGGTTTTTTCCCCTTTTTTTCCCCAGGAGAAATGAGATCCATTTCTCTACATTCCACAAAACTTGGAAGCGCAGTCGACTATTTTTAGACAATTCCCTGGACGCTGCGTCAGCTTCAGCCACTTGGAACCACGTCTCTCCCCCTGGCTCCCAGACACTGGGTTTATACAAACTCTGGAGAAGAAGATTGTTCTTAAACGCTCTCTTTCTCCCCCGCTGTCCTTAGCACTGCACTGCTGCTGACAAGTAAATATTTATTTTGGTGAATTTTGAGCAGCGTTTGAGTTGCTGCTTTTTAAAATGAGGCTCTTGTGGATGGGAGTGAAAGAGCCAGAAACCAGAGTCCTGTTAGGGTGGGGAAATAGGAGACAGGTGTTGATGGAGCCTAGAAGAAGCAGTTGCCAGCAGAGAGCCTGGAAAGTGAAGCAGACAGTGGTTGCAGCCTCTGAATTAAAGCATTGATTGGGCATGGGTGTGTGTATAAGCTCCCGGCACGGCCCTGGAGGGTCCCACATCTCCTTCATTGGGGCCTGATTCTGATCACGTTGGTACGGTATCACACGACTGACTTCCATGGCTTTCCACCAGAAGTGAACGGAGGTGGCTGGTCTCTCTGAGCCAGCTGCATTTCCCTTTTCCCCTCTTGAGAACAGGTTTTCTCTGTAGGTATCACAGCTGGGCAAGGTCTTCTGGGGGAAAGAAATGACCTCCAAGGGTGGCCATCAGGTTCAAAACAGGGCTAGCGTGGTTTGAACATACCAGAGCCAGCAGCACACAAGGGAATGGTCTGGCCAACGTTGTCCTCAGCTAGCAGCTGCCCATTCAGAAGATGCCCACTGCATTGGCGGTGGCTTTTGGCATGAGACCCACTTGAACTTATGCATCCAGACCCTTCGCTACTCTGCCGCTGTGTCAGTAGTAGCTTGGGACATTAGAGGTGCATCTGAAAGAGGTTGGTGCTTGGGTACTTGCTCATTTGGCCAAATCCCATTAATCAAACCCCTACATCCTGAGCTTTCCAAGCTGTTGGCCTACAGTTGTGTTTCCTTCAGAAATTCTGGCTTCCTTTTCAACCTAAAGGGCCATGATCCCAATCCCAGCACCCTGAACTTGACATCCAGACCCAAAGTATGTGCCTTGTGGACTTTTTACCCCATCACCTTTCCCTGTGTATAGTGTATAGTGAAAACCTGGTCTAGCGTGATGTTCAAAACTACACTGTCGAGGCAGGATGCAACACCCTTACTTGTTCTCCTTTCTCTCTGAGTAAGAGATTTCTTGCAGTCATATAGCATGTAGGTGTTTAACGTAGAAATTATCCCACCTGCCTACATACAGCACCAAGCACCATAGACCTCCAACATCCGCTGCAGTCTCTGGGTGCTACTGGGACATCGCGCAAAGGACCACTTCCTTGCCAATCGGCACAAAAAGCTAAAAACCCTCTGCGCAGACACCCTGTGTTGCGAGCTGGGGAACAGGCTGTCAGCATTAATACCGTCGGGGTTTTGGCTGGGGCTGTGGGAATTCAAGGCGGCGTGGCATTCCTGTTCAACAAACAATGTCTCACTTGTGTTTGGTGTTTTAATATGCTCAGGTGGGTTTGCAGCTGCAGTCACCACGCCTCTCGATGTAGCCAAGACAAGAATTATGCTGGCAAAGGTAAGAGGCAGCCGAACAGCGCGGAAACGGCAGGTGCGTGGTCACAGTGCTAGCACTTGTGCAGGGCCATGGCGAAGTGGCTGATCCAGCACTTAATGCTGATTTCTGCTCCCTATGTTGCAATGGGATGGGAGTGCGCAGTTTTGGGGCAGATAACAATGGTGCTGCTTTCCCGCCCCTACTTTTCTCCTTTTACCTCTAGCCTCTGCTCTTTCCCCAAAGAGCCATTAAAGATGTCCCTGCTCAGGCTCGAATACAAAGGCCTTGTGAAGAACTCCTGACATCAGAAATCCAGACAGGGCCGGATTCCTTTCTCCATTTGGATAAGTCTTATATTAGAGATTTCCCTGCAATATGCACCTCGTATGCCTTGGCATACATGTATATTCACAGTGCAACGAGTGGCATGTGCTCCATGCTGGGTATCGTTGCTGAACTCCTCCAGCACCCTGAGCAGCTTGACCTGCCCTCGGTTGTTTCCTCACCGGGGAAGGAATGATACTGCTGACCCACTCAGACATTTTGAGATCCTCGCATGAAAGATGCCATGCAAGGCACAGCTGTGTATTAAACATTCGCCATGTTACACTGCTGTATGAACACCCTGTAGTTGGTCGGTTTGCCTTTGTAGCTCAGGTGGCTACGTGGTACAGGGATTGCTTGCACCCCGTTTTTTTTAAGCAGTTATTTTTACTGTATAGTTTTAAATGAAATGTCAAGGGAAAACTCCTCCTTAGAAGTTTTGAAATAAGTAAGCGGCAGGCTCGACAGCCAGTGGATTGCCCCCAGGGGCTGGAATCAAAGCCTTGTTCTTGCTTTGGGCTTTTGAGACACGCTGTGGACTGATGTATGCGGCCCTGGAGGGAGATACGATGATCTGGCCTTTGTTCCTTGCTTTGCTGCTATCCCTCTTTGCGACCTTTCTGTCCCATGTCCTCTGTATGAAGGGCGACTTTCGGTGTGTTTGCACAGCACCTCTCATGCTGTACATGGGCTCTTGCAGCATAATAATACGTATAATAATGTGCAGAACTCATATAAATACGAACAGTGATATTAACTTCTCATTCTTCTTCCATCTGAACGGATCTGATTTGATACTGAGATATTTGGTGCTGATCAGCTGAACGTGTGCATGTGCTATTCCATCAGTAGATGCATTAAGCACCGGTGAAGTGACATAAGCCATGGATAGGAGGAGTTGAGTATCGCTGACTGCCTGTCTGTCTCTTCTTGCAATGCAGGCTGGTTCCAGCAATGCCAAAGGGAACGTGCTGTCTGCTCTGTACGAGGTCTGGAAGAAGAACGGCGTGTCTGGGTAAGGACTTATGGTGAGAGAATGGCTCAGTCGGTGACAGCCCAGTACAAGCATGTTTTATTGAAAACAGAGTGGTGTGTTACCGTGAGGCCTTGATCCCAAATAGCACCATTTGGAGCTATGGCATTTCCAATATGAACTAACCATAATGAGTCCACCCAGTGGAGACCCCAGGCCTGCCTTGAAGGAGGGACTTCCTTCTGCTGCAGTAAAACACTCCCCAGCTTTCTCCAGTTCTGCAGTGGGGGAAATAGCAAAGTCATCTGTGTACTCTGAGGTCTTTTTTCACCTGCACAGGATCTGCCACAGAGGTACCAAAGATCTCCAAGCAGCGGGAAGGAGCCGCTGGCTTTGTAAAGCCCTTTTCTGACCACTCCATGGGATGCTGCAATGCTGCGTTTCTGCATTGCGGTAGTGTTTTCCAACCGCAGGATATGTGATTCCATGTGGAGCACTGAAGTCGCATCCTCTTGGATTCCCATTATATCCGTTCTTATTAATAAGCTTTTTTGCAAGGTGTTGGGGCCCAGGGCATGTGCTGGGATGCTGGCTGTCTTCCCCACAGTTGTCTGTGTTGCAACACAGCTCTGTTTGCGGAAATAACTAGCTGCTGAGGCAGGCAAGAACAGTGGTTTTAACGGGTAGCAACGGGCCGGCTTAGCCAGGAAGAACCCCTCACATCCCAGTCTGAACACACCCGAGGGAATTAGGCTGGTTTTCCAGCTCTGTCAGTGACTTGGGTCATGCTGATGCACATGACCACTTTGTGCCTTAGTTTGCCTGTCTGTTAAAATGGGAATATCCCATTCTGACATTTTGCAGTGATGATGTAGTTGGGGTTGGTCCTGCTTTGAGCAGGGGGTTGTACTAGATGTGACCTCCTGAGGTCCCTTCCAGCCCTCATTGTCCGTGATTCTGTTCGGTGTTGTGGACAGATGTAGGTCTAGGCAGCTATGCTGGATATGCGCTGGTAGGTGATGGTTTAGAAGTGAAGCATGATTTATAGCTTTGAGTTCAGTGCGCAGGCAGGAAAGTGCATTGTAGTCACTTGCTCCTGGAAATATATGGAGTTCAAATGCTCTGCTTTATCCTGCTCTGCTTTATCTTGCAGCATTAGCGCCTGTTGCACCCAGTCTTTTACTGTTATTAGTGAGCAGTGGCCCTCTGTGCCAGGTGCTATACAAGCACCCTGCTGCCTGGAAAAGCTCCTAAGCTAAATATTAAAAGGAAATGAGTTCCTATTTGTCAAATAGGAAGTGGGGCCTAACTTAGGTACCTAACTTAGCTTAATAAGAGACAGTACAGTCAGTGACAGGGCTGGGCATAATACCCAGATCTCCAGAGTCAGTCGGGAGGATTCGGTAAAACCTTGATCACCAGGATTGGGAAAGGCCCCAGCAGTAAAAGCGGAGAGAAAAGAGCAGGAGATCTCAGGAAGAAATGAGATCGGAGGTGTTGCTTCTGGGTGCCGCAGTTGGGGTTCCCTGCCCCTGCAGACATAACTGCTGGGGCTGCAGTAGCCCGTGCTGCGGATGCACATTTGCAAAGCTCCTGTAACAGGGCTAAGCACTGCCACAGGAGAAGGATGAGGTGTTGCTGGAGAACAATGCCATGCCACAGGCTTTAGCCTATTGGTGCTTTGTCACTACATGCCTCGTACAAATTACTCTGTTTTTAAAGCTATAATTATGGTAATAGACCCAATTGCTGTCTAGTGAAGCCATAAAATGTTTCCATCTGCCTGCGTGCTCCCAGATCCTGAGCAAAGATCATTACCACAAAAACCAAAGCAAGTGCAGCCGGAGGTTTCCCAGGCACCGGGTCTGACTTGCAGCGAGGAGCGCAAGGGAGAAGAAGCTCCTAAATTGCTACAGGAACATGAGCTGCTTCCAGGGGACCCTGGTAGTTAAAATGCCTTCGGCCTCCCTGCGTTACACAGGATGTGTCAAGTAATAGCGGTGGGACCAAACGTGCGATTGAAATGCTGGGTTAGTTTAACACGAAGGGTCCAAACCAGCTCACAAAAGCCAAGGCGAGCAGAGCGAACCCCCTAATTCACCCAGTGCATAGAAGTCATACATCAGTCCCATGGTGTGTGGGGTCATCCCTCTGCCCAGGTAGGCCCCGGGGATGTAGGTGAGTCGTTTGGGGTCTAGCCAGTCCTTGCACCCAGCTTAGGAGAGCCTGACTTGTGCAGAGAGCTGCAGAGGTCTGTCCTGAGGTTTGTCATCCCAGCCAGTGTTAGTGGTAGAGCAACTTCCCTTGGCCATTTATCTCAACCCGCCTAGTCCTGCCCAGTGCTGAGCCCCCATCAACTTCAGAGGGATGTTGTCTTCACAGAAAGCACTTTGCAGCTCTCCAGGTTTTCCTGGGATGCTGGCAGGTAATGGGACATGCATGGTTTTGGATGCTCCACCTGCCCTGTGTCCTCTTGAGTTAAGATCTCC